GGGACGCCGGTAGGGATTAAGTGGACTTATCCGGTACGCCGGTGAGGTATAAGTGGACCTGCAGGGATTAAGTGGATCTATCTGGGACGCCGATAGGGATTAAGTGGACCCATCAGAACGCTGATGGGGTATATAGGTGACCTACTTGGGACGCCAGTAGGGTATTTTGTGAAATCCTTTGAATTATATACTGCCGTTAAAATTGTTATAAGCATTTCAATTACTCGGATTATACTTAATTATGCATTTATTGAAAGTGAAACTGTGATGCATTTCTGTTAATAGATCTCATTTTGGAAAATATTGATATCTTTCAATCATGATTATTTTTAGGATTATGATGATTACTTACTGAGTAGCCAAACTCATCAAACTATGGTAAACATTTTTCAGGATAACTGCGGATTCATTTTGAGTGCTAGTCAAGATCAACCTTGGAAGATAATGTTGTTGTGCTAGCTTTCTTTATCTACTTTGTAAGACCTCGCCATTGTAAATTTGTCCTATCAATAGATGTATATATATTTTGTCCGTCACATCTCAGGAATAACAGTACTGTAAATTCTTGGGGTGTGACAGTCTCCCACCATCTTGAGAGTCTGTTGTAATGCATTGAAGCTGAGAGAAGAATGAGGAAGAAGTCAAATGAGCGTCACTATGCCCAAAGTTCATCTTCTCAGATCCCCAAGAAACATTTCAATAATCAGAAAAATAATAGGTAGAAGGGAAATGGGAGAATTTTTAAAAATAAAAAGAACAAGGTTGAACAGGCTTGTTTTATTGTAATAAAATTGGACACATCAAGTTTAATTGTCGTTAGCTGAAAAATAAAAATAAGAACCAGAATAACGACTCTACTTAAAATAATTAAAATAAAAGAAAGGACTTGATCTGCGTAGTCCTAGAATTAATAGTTGTCGACCATGACTTGAGAAATTAGTGGGTCGACTCAGCCTCCACCCGACATGTCTCAAGGACGAAGGATGGATTTACAGAATTTAAGGAGATTGCAGCCGATAACCAGCGGATTTATATGGGAAATGACACCTACTGCGATGTACTAGGTATTTATTAGGAGGAACAAAGCTCTTATTGACTGATACATTATATGAGCCCAATATGATGTGCACTTTGATTTCTGTCCCTAGGCTAGACGACAAGGGTTATGAAATAAAGTTTAGGTCTGATTGGGTTACCATTGGAAAGCATTCTAGATCATTGGTGTACGATACTAAAATTGACAATTTGTACCGACTGAATATTAATGAAAGTTTACCCTTTTCTGATTATTTTGATGCCTCTTTTGATGCTTATATGTATATGGATGATTCATATTTTTAGCCCTTAAGATTAGAACATATAAATAAAGACAAAATGAATCAAATGGTTAAAAGAGGCTTGCTCCCCAATTTAGGAGAAATTGTGTTCAAAACATGTGAGCCATGTATTTCTGGAAACTTAACTAAGAAGCCTTTCTCTAAAAGGAAAAAGTTTAGTAAACTACTTAATATTGTTCACTCTGATATATGCAGCTCATTAAATGTAAAAACACATAGAGGTATGAAATATTTCATAACATTTATAGATGATTATTCACGTTATGGATATGTATACCTAATTAGTAAGAAATCAGATATATTATAAACTTTTAAAGAATATAAAGATGAGGTAGAAAATCAGTTAGGTAGACATATTAAAATTCTTCAAACAGATAGGGGAGATGAATATTGCTCCGCCTTATTTACCAAATTTTGTAAGGAGCATGGTATAATTTACCAAACAACCATGCCATATACACCACAACAAAATGGTGTAGCTGAAAGGAGAAATAAAACTCTAATGGACATGGTTAGGTCCATGATGAGCCATTCAAATTTATCAGCTCATTTTTTGGGTGAGGCTTTTAACACTGCAATGTATATTATTATTCGTGTTCTAACAAAATCTATAGACTTGACCCCATATGAATTATGGACAGGTAAGAAACCTGACTTTACTATCTTGAAAGTTTAGGGTTCTTAGGTACATGTTCTTATACCACCACAAAATAGAGATAGATTATAAAGTAAAACTATAAAATACTCTCTTATAGGCTATTCAAAAAATTCTAAGGGGTATAGATTCTATAACTATGATATTAGATCGTTAATAGAGAGTCGTGATGCTCATTTCTTAGAAAATATAGATGATGAAAATATTTTAAATAAACCTGTTGATTTACAAGAAATTAATAAAGATAAGGGTATGGAAAACCCTGTTTCTCAGACTCCCTCTACATTTAGTGAGAATGATTCAATTGAATCAAGTATGCCAGACAGACCTAAAAGAATTAGAGCCCCTCTTACGACTTTAAAAGAATTTTATGTATTTATGAATGAAGATAATTATTCTTCAATGAGTGAGGATACAATAGATGAACCTTGAAACTACAATGAAGCTATTAGCTCACATGACTCAGTTGAGTGGACTCAAGCCATTGATGATGAACTTGATTCTAGTGAAAGAAATCAAGTTTGGGAATTGGTTGACCTTCCTAAAGATATAAAATCCATTGGTTGCAAATGAGTTTTTTAAAAAAGCTTAATTCAAATAGATCAATTGATAAATATAAGGCCAGGTAGGTAGCTAAAGGATTTATCCAAAGGGAGAGTATAGATTATGTAGAGACTTATTCTCCAGTAGTAAAATTATCATCTATTAGAATCATCCTAGCATTAGTTGCATATTATGATATATAATTATTTCAGATGGATGTAAAAACAACTTTCTTAAATGGAGAATTAAAAGAAGATATATATATGAAACAACCAGAATGGTATATAATTAAAGGCCAAAAAGACAAAATATATAAACTTAAAAAATCTTTATATAGTGTAAAACAGTCTTCTAAGTAATGGTACTTTACTTTTCATAATGCAATCACTGAAATTGGTTATATAACCCATAGCTTAAACCATTGTGTATATATTTGGAATAATGAGAGCAATTTTGTTATATTGTTACTATACGTGGATAATATTTTAATAGCTGGTAATGATATTGGCATGATTAACCATACCAAATTATAGCTAAATTCCTATTTTGAGATGAAAGATATATGAGAAGCCTCATATGTATTGGGCATTAAAATAACAAGAGATAGAATTTCGAGACTTCTATAATTATTACAAGAAATTTATTTAGAAAGTATTCAAAAGATATTTAAGATGGAAAATTGCAAGCCTATAGATACACCCGTTTGTAAAGGCTTGAAATTATCAAAGAAAATGTGTCCATTAAATGATAGTGATAAAGTTGAAATGGAAAGAATTCCATATACTCAAGTTGTAGGATGCATAAATTATGTCATGTTATGTTATGTACAAGACCTGATTTGAGCCATGCATATAGTCTTGTAAGTAGATTTTAGAGTAATCCTAGAATGAATTATTGGCAAGCAGTAAAAATGATACTCAGATATATTCCAAAAACTAAAAATTACAAGTTATACTTCTAAGCTAACAATTTAGAAGTTATTGGGTGCTCTGATGCAGATTTTGCAGGAGACACAGATGATAGAAAATCAATCTCAAGAATTGTATTCCTCTTTAGAGGTGGATGTGTTTCTTGGTCTAGCAAGAAACAAGGTTGTGTAGCTCGATATACTATGGAAATCGAGTATATTGCTTGTAGCATTTCTACAACTTATGTCGTCTGAATTAAACGCTTCTTAGATGATTTGAAGCTGGATATAACCGACGGACCTATTAAATTTTTTTGTAATAATCAGGCTGCTATTTCATCAATTAGAAATGGAGCTTATAATTCCAAGGGTAAGCACATTGAAATTGATTATCATTACATTTATGATATTATTGAAAAAAATAAAATAACTGTAAGTTATTTGTTATCTTCAAATATGATTGCAGAACCTTTGACAAAGGGATTGAATGCAAAAATATTATCAAAGCATGTAGCTTTGATAGGACTTAGAAATATTTAAGTCAAGAATTCCTAAATGTGATATTTTTGATGTTTTAGTCATGAGAGGAAAAACCGCATTAGCGTAAAAAACCCGTGACATGACTTTGAATATATATATTTTTTGTTATAAGATATATAACCGCACTAGCGTGAAAAACCTCATAACAAAAATATGCTTATAAATGTTAAACTCATTAAATGGTAAAGATTTTATGATATTTCAATATATCTGGCTCTCATGGCCAAGTGAGAGATATTGGTTGGTACGTGTGTGTGACTATGGGGCCTTTAAACATGTCATTTCTCTCTCTCTTATAATTTAATATTTATCACTAAAATAGGGAGGCTTATTAGATAGAGAAAGTGTCATTATCTAACATGTAGAAATAACCACCCACCTCCCAGGATTACAGGACCATGTTTCTCAAAGATTTCAGGAGGAAAGCCAAACGTTGGAGAACGGCCTCCTTCCATCCCTCTTTAAGAAAGGTTTTCATAGTCATAGAGAGACAGACAACATAATCAATTAAGTTTTCATTGTTTTGGAAAATGGCCTGATCTCTGTGATCTCAAATCTCGCGACTTCGCCAGTAATCTTGCGAGGGTTCCATCTCTTCTCTCAAAATTTCAACAAGAAAGTGCTTTAGGAGGGACATGACATCTAGAGTTCCATTTTCACGGGGTCTCTAGCATTCATAGAGAAAGAGCGAGAGAGGACCTATACGCCTATAGGACATATATGATTAGAAACCGTCCACAACTATGAACGTGCATTAAGACGTATAGAGTGGTGCCAACCATACTGGTATTTTCTTGTGTATCACTGCTCTGTCTATCACCCACAATCCAGTAATTGGATGGTGATAATCCTCACAATCACTTATTCTACATGATCATGTGGATCATAGGATGCTTTTACTACAGTCAATGACATATTTGGAAGCATGCATATACACCTACATGCAGAAAGAAACAGTGAATTCTGGATGCTTACCGTCAAATGTATGCCGTTGGATTGGCAGAAATCATGAAGCTTGGGTTGTTGCCAAACAGGATGGCACTCGACTTGATTAACAGCTGGTGTAACCCTCGCATGCGCGAGGAGGTCTTGGAGCTTCTTGCAACTGAAGTTGCTCACTCCTATGGCACGTGCCTTGCCTGCTGAGTATAAGGCCTCCATGGCACTCCAAGTTTCAGGAAGGTTGAGTGGGGCCATCACCTCTGGTTCCCACCCTCTCATGCCAGGTTTGGCTCGAAAGGGCCAATGGATCTATAGGTACAAAGCAGGGTTTTGTGAATACAAATAAGCAAAAGAAACTGGAATAGAAGAAGGGGAATTATGATGTGATCCATATGATCATAAGAAAGTTTTGTTTCCATATGTTATCATTGTCTAATCAACTTAAGGATGGTGATGGAGAGAGAGAAGGCCCTCGGGAACATATAATGATCCATGCGTTATCATGGTCCACATGGTATGCTCCACTCTCGATCACCACCCGTCCAATGATTGGACTGCGGTATACACTTATGACCATAGGGTTTCAATGGTCGTATGGATTATTATATACTGTATGAAGTCATAACGTTATATCTAATATAACGATATCATAAGATAACAGTAGTTTGTGTGTGCGCATGCATGCATGTGTAATGATAATATAATCAACAGTAGCTTTTTGTGTGTGTGCATGCATGCCTGCATAATGAGAGAGAGAGAGAAAGAAAGAGGATCGGGGGTATACAAGGTAAAGATCGATATAATCGAGTTGCAGGTCCTTTAGAGTTTCATTAAGTGCTTTGGGGACATCTTCCGGTGCATGATCACAGTTCCTGCAATTTCAACATGTTTATGTACACAGTAAGAATGTGAGAAATTTTAAGGGTTGGTAGAGAAGTTACACAAGGTTTGGTTTTTAATGTTGAGTTTATTGCATGAACAAACTAATGGTATTTTGATTGCACAAAAAAACGTAAACTGGGTAAGTAATATAAATGAAAAAGAAACCAAATGGGCAGCTAAAAAGATTTGGTCTCTTGGTTTTATGGTTGGGACATAAAGAGATCCATTTTCTCAGTTAGACACTAATGATTATTCCTTTTAATGTGGCACTTGTGCTTGAAAGACCTCCTTTTTTTCTTAATATTGGGCTTGAAAGACCTATCTAATACACACCATAATAAAAATACTTCGGAAAGAAATTGTTGTTAATCTTTGAATCATCATCATCAAAGCCTTTTTTTTAATTAATTGGGGGCCACTACACGAATCTTTCTCCTCTATTTTGCTCTATTAAAGACTATATCCTCAGTGATGTCCTAAGTGTCCATATATTTTCTTCCAACTATGTCTTTTTGGATCTACCTATCGTCTTTTTTTAACATTTCATATTTATTACAACGTAAAAAATGTCCAAAAAAATCTCCCTCTTTTTTTCTTTTATAAGAAGAAAGAATGAGTATGCAACTCGAGTGTGTACCACTAAAGAAATATAAGATCTTTACTATGTGGAAGTAATACAAGCACCAAAAAGTGGTATCAAAGTATGAGATAGACTGCATTGATATACTTTATGTGCAAAATATATTTTTATTTGGAAGCTGCACTCATAAATTCAAGCTTTGTTCCAATAGGCCAAAAAAAAAAAACACATACCATAATTTCGAGGTGATCCATAGGTCTTCACGTTTCACAATGCCTTCTGAAAACAAATGCTTCAAAGCTATCCCCGCCTGCATCCATTTACAGGTAATTATTTAGTCCTTATAATGATTATTTTGTACAGTTTTATTGTTTAATCTCAAACCTAGGAGGAAAAAAGAGAGAAAAGAACAAGAAACCTGTAAATGCTCGTGGGCTTATAGGCACAAGACTTTTTACCTGTTTTTTTTGGGACATGTACAATGTAAGATTATTTACCTTTGATATAAGAATGTCACAATCACTTCTTGTAGTCAAATATGAAGTGTGAGACAGTCAAGAGGGTATTATTTTTCTGCTCAAAGTTCTAGATCTTGGATTTTGAGTGCGATCAGTGGCGTAAATCTCAACTCCCCGATTTCACATTTGCTGGAATAAAGTAATTGTGACATTCTTGTACATCAGGTAAATGTTATTGTTTCGTACTCTTTTACTTACAAAAGCAAGCATATACCTCCTTTTCATTATCATACACTCGTGCACAGTCAATGTGTCTATACCCGGCCTGAAAAACAAAGACACAAGATGAAGACAAATAACCTACAAAGAAAAATAAAGCAAAAACTAATTATGAATATCGTAATACATCTTTATGTTCCCAATACCAGTCTTTCATGGACCATTTTAAGTGTTTGAGATTTGTAGTCGACAATGACAAAGTAGAAATCATGCCCAGTTTAAAAATGTAGGGAAGACACTTGGAGCCTTCATCAACATCATCATCAACCGAGCTTTGTCCCAACTATTTGAAGTCATCTATACGAATCGTGTTGCGCTGCACTCTTGGAACCTTAGATCCTTAAATCCATGGCTCTCATCAGAAAGTATATATGATCCAAAAGCTATGAGGGTGTTGCTCACATTCTTAACATAGGCATGGTTTCTACAACACCACTTCCGATTTAGTACTATATAGGGCTACTGTTGTTACGAAGTCAGAATATCAAAAACATGGGTGTGAACAATGTTTAAAAAATTGGCTTGGACTGGCTGATTTTCATGGTTTGATCCAAAAGCAGTCCGAGTCCAGTACCCCACAAAAATATAATTTTTTGAGTATTTTGTGACATATGATATTGTTTTTAGAAGGATTTGCATGTTTTAAACTGTTTAAAATTTTTAAACACTAAGGGTTTTTTTAAAAAAACAAATTAGTCAAAAAGAGCCGAGCCAGCAACCAGTAGGTGACTGATTCGACCCATTGGTCTTACTTTTTAAACACTGGGTGAGAATATTGGCACACTTAATGATATGAAGTTCTACTTCTACCCCTTGGGAGTTACGCCTTTCTTTTATTGGATACAGAGCATATGGGCTGGATACACATGGCCTGTCCTCCTTGAGAGATGATGGAGATGAGCCCATGTCCTAATGGCAAATCGAAGTGGACATGGGTTCAAATCAGAAGTGGGTGTCTGGTCAGGTCCTTCACTAAATCGGGAAATCATGTTAAATCTTGTTCTAAGGTAATGAAGATGTTTTAGATTAATTTTGAGGATCTTTTCCCAGTTCAACTCGGAACTGGTGGATGTTCGATCCAAAGCACCCACAATCATGTTACATAATGTTTTAATGTAATAAAAATGTTGTTTTTAGAACGATTTGAGGATCCTGGGCCTGGTTTAAAATTTTTGAACCATATTATTATTTTTAAAAATTGATAAATCTAAAAAGCTGACTTCTCCATTCAGCCTATTCAACTTGTAAGGGGTCGGTAACTGAGTCAATTCAGACTGAATCGGTCTGATTTTGACATGTTCAACCCATTGGTTCGATTTCTATTTGTATTCGAACAGAAAGAAAAAAAGAAGAGGATGCAGGATAGGAATAGAGGACACACTCTAGGCGCCCATAATTTTTGCCAAAAAAGTGAACTATAATTTATTAATCTAATACAAACTCATTATAGATGACCAATGAGGATGACGATGATGAATGACAATAATAAATAAACTAATAAATAAATAAATATAGAGAATACCTTAACGGCCGCGATTATGGCATCGCCTACAGCACCAGGAGGTGCTTTCCATGTTCCCAAACCAACAGATGGAATCCTTGCCCCTGTATTCAACTCGAAATACATTGCAACCTCATCAACATTCCTGCATTGTTTCTTGACTGCACTCTCCATGACCAATTTATTTGAAAACTACAGTTCCTTGATATGAAATCTCTCTCTCTCTAAGATGTTTAGCTCAATATAACATACGTCTCTCTTTTATCTCTCTCTCTTGAAATTGCAGAGCACAACAAATAAATAGCTTCTTTTTCTTGAAATTGCAGAGTACAGCGAATAAATAACTTCTTTCTTTGAAGTTTGAAGAGATCACACAATCTGGCTGATTATTAAGAGACGGGCCATATCTCCCTGCCTTTTCTAGTAATGGCACTAGGTATCCTTACCAGTTGTTTTTATTTTTGGGTAATTCAAAAAGGATATTTTTGGGTAATTCAGAATGGATAGACAGCCCATACCCGTTTTTTGAAATCATTAGTGGTTTTTGAATGTTTCTGGTGAATTAAAAACCTAGACCTTACCTGGGATACAAGTGGTGCTACTGCTATAACCCCAACCCCATTCTCATATCCTTATCGGTTACCAATCAAAAGGAGCAACATATAAAGATCCATATGACCCTAGGAATGATGATGTTGTATCGCCTTTCGATGAATGATTTGGATAATCATGGAGATAGAGACATATATGGCATCTCAAACACGCACCGAAAAAAGTCATTTTGATGTTAAAAAACCTTATAATTGATCATCTCGACCTTAAAAATATATGGTGTGAAAAAAAAAAAAAAAAACAAAAGATTTCAAATCCTAGAGATGGATCCACTCCCATTCATCACTATCCAAGCCATCGTTGGGACTAGTGATTTAAAAATAGACTGGTGCCCCGAATTGGGCACTGCAAAATCAGCTCTAGATCAGTGGCGGTCTAGATCACCGTTTTACTGTGTAGAAAAACTAGTGAATTGGCAAAAAAAATGTGAAAAATAGTGAACTGGAAAAAGAAAATGTGAAAAACAGTGAACCGGCCAAAAACCGGTCTAGATCTGGGAATCCACAGTCCAGATTGCCATTTTGTTGTAGAGAATTATCGTTTTACTTTAAGGAACCGTCGGTTCTCTTCTAGACTTGGTCATTTTTCTGTATACATGCATAACCAGAACAATATAATCGATTCCCAGATCAAACCGATCGGTTCTCTTCTAGACTTGGCCATTTTCTATATACATGTATAACCAGAACAAGATAATCGATTCCCAGATCAAACCTAGTGATTCCATGCCGACCCGTCATTTTTTAAATCACTGGTTGGGAGGGTGATATACTCATGGTCACAGTGTTTTCATCACCATATGGATTATACCTTACGAGCCCTTTGAGAGACCTTTTGGTTGAGGTACCCCCTCCTCGGATCAAAGTTAGAGAAGAAAATCCTCGAAAGGAAATATTAAGAGAACACTCAAAATCTAAAAAAATATAATTGTCCTACTTGATAAATGAATGTTAGTCAATTTAATTCCAAAAGAGTTCCAGTATTCGACATAGTAAAAAACAAATCGTAGAAGTTAGCAATTCTTAAAATCCGCATTCTCCATGTTTGATGGTGGAGGTTACCACTACTTGGTTGAACGTGCATTGTGGGATTGCTAAATCTCCGCCGTTCATTATTGTTGACAAATTATGGACGTCCCCATGGTCTATCATATGACTCAAACGATACACAACAGTGTACAGTATACTTTCCCCTTTGAAGAGGGTCTATGGTGTAGGATGGAAGATACAACTATTGTTACCAGCCAGTAATCGTTGGACACCAAAAATAGCCGGTGAAGATGCATTGCAAATGAAAAGACTGTTTCAATTATAATGGTGAAGCCATCTTCACAAGGACAGGGTATACGTTATCATAGATAAAGATATAATACCAGGGAAATTTTCGAAATAGAGTATTACAATATGGTCCCATACACACCCTCCAGTAAATTGACCTCCTTAACTTCTATTAAATTTCATAAAAGAACGGTCAAGTAGCCCCCTGTTTCTTTTTTCTAGGTTTTATTTGGACCCGGTTTCTATACTACCAAGCCAACAAATACAAGCCTCTCAATAAATGTACTTTTACGATGGATTATTAAAACTTAAATGTTAAGGACATGTAATCTCTAACATAAAGATCATTAATATGAAAAAACAAATCAATTTTAAAAACTATAAATAATAATTAAAGTAAGAAAATGTTTGGAATAACTGAAAACTAATAGTAATATTCTGGGAGATAAAAAAGCCAAAACAATGATTATAAAGTTTTATGTTTTTTTAAATTTTAAATATAATAAATAACAATATCACAACTACACGATTTGAAATCTAACAAAAGTGTTTGTAACCTCCTTATACCAACTACACAATTTGAAATATGACAAAAGTGTTTGTGACCTTCTTATACCGAAAATAAATGATCTCTTTGTATAATTTTTTTTCCATACACATCATGTCGATGATGTCCTGCACTTCATATCGATGACATCCGGCACTTCACATACCATGTTACTTGTAATACAGTTCCCATACCACGTTAAATCTCCTCCATCCCTTTTCAAGACATGTAGGGCTTTTACATATTTCAAAAGGTTTTACTCTCTTTCCAGATAAGAGAGCATTCCCCCCTTTTTGCTTGATCTTGAAAAGCATTCAATTATTATTATCATACAAACAAATAGAATGTCAAAATAAGTATAGTACTTAGACATCAACCTTTGTCTTGCTCACTTCATCATTTTCTAATGGCAAAATTGCAAATCAAAATGAGGCACCCATGTTGCAGAATAGGCAAAACAAGTCATTGTGTACAATGGCCCATCTTACAAAAGATCTAAACCCTCAAAGGCCTTCAAAGTTCAAACAAAGGATTACAGGAAAAAACAAATCATGATATTCATCATTTCTGATTTCATCATTGACATCACTGTACTGTGTTGAACAAAGGTTGTTTCAGATTGTATCACTGTTGTATGATCGCAAGAGAGTACAAAGTTTGAAAATGTAGCACATGTTTTGGCATGAATGGAAGCACATTGAGGCAACAAATGAATACCCCAAATCCCCAAAACATACTTTGAAGTAGAATTTCTAGAAACGGAAATTAGTTACTGAGGGAGAGCATCATTTATTCCCAAATCAATACCCAGAAACAGTTTGTGTGAAATAATCCTCTCCTATACTAACAAAACTTTGTCAATCAAGACCGGCTTACTTCTCGACGAATTTCTTCAGGTTGTTCAGCCAATTCAAATACTCCCTACTATCCTTGTTTATCATGTATTCGTGAAGGAAATTGGTGGTGCTCCCCTTGATACCTCTGAGCTCCAGATACTTGTGGAAAGCCTTCTGCAAGTTCTCATCCAAATCCCTGGAAAAACCCGGAAATTTTAATATATGATAATGGAAGAAAATTGCAATAGAATAACCCATGGCTAAATGGCACCCAGAGTCGACTATTTTTTACCCAAGTAAAAAAGATGTTGAGTAAAACAGATGATGAGAGAAAGAGAAAGTAAAAGAGATGTTGAGCGAGATAGACAATAAAAGAGAGAGAAAGAGAGAGAGAGAGAGAGAGAGAGAGAGAGAGAGAATGTGTGTGAGAGAGAGAGAGAGAGAAAAAATAGTGTGTGAGAGAGAGAGAGAAGAAAGTGTGTGTGTGTGAAGAGAGAGAGAGAGAGATCAGCAGCAAAATCTTGATTATTCTAAGGAAGAGGCAAAATTCAGAGAGCAAACCCAATTCTCCCTACTAACAAGCTAATAACCACTGATTATAAAAGATAAACAATAGAACTAAAAACAAGATCAAGAAATACAAGTATACTGCAATAACAATACTTACGCAAAGTCAGGCCCTACATAGGCTATCTGATCTTCAGTGGTGCCTGGCTCCTTAACAGACATAGCATCTATAGTAACCTCATCGGGATAAGCTGTACAACCAAACTCCAAGCAGAGGCCATCACCTTTCGAAACATTCACAATCAATGAGAGGCTAGATTGATTAGCTCTTTTGCTTTCATCATCACCATCATCATCACTATCATTTCCTTCACCAGTGACGAGATCTGGCATATGTACTTCGACTCTAATAGTTTCATCCCCATATTTTCTACTTAAGCTTATGGTCTGCTGACCAGGGTTATCCTCTATTTCAAAGGGAAAACCATCTGGGATCTCATCTTTCTGCCATGAATGACCATGCTATTAATAGTCTTATCTAAACCATAAGCCCAAAGTTTAATAGTATACGACTTGATAATAATATAAGAAATGCACAGTATTCACAAGAACAAATTACATCATGAAAATTTTATGAAACAAATATCATAAAAGATGAAAAAAAGGCATCAAGAAAACAAGGCACAATAAATGTTTTCTGGGTGCAATAAACAACTAACTTAAGATCATATTTTGAAAGAATATGAATAAAAGAGCTCTGATTTCATCCATTTACTCATATGATGTACATGCTAAGGGAAAAATTTGTTTTACCCAATAGTTCTTAAACCATCAACGAGACCATTGATCTTATAAGAAATGTTAACTACTTATGTTCAAGGATATTGGATCATTAAAAACTCTAGGGGTCTACGGGATCTAATACATATATTTTGCAGCTAATATCTTAAACAAAATTATATGTTATGATTGATGAATCTCCAAATCCAATAATTCATTTTCAAGTTTCACATTGTGATAAATTAACTAATTTTTATTTTTTTATAGTAAAATAACTTGATTTATATTAGAAATCATAATGTAACATCATTTATTGAACCTTCAGTCACAAGGATAGCCTCCAAAGGTTCACCCAAGAATGGTGCAAACAATTTGCCTGAGGTTTACAAGAGTCCAGATCACAAGGAAAAAGTACAGGTCTCTGCTTTTTTTCCTCAGGTTATATTGGAATTACAGGGTTCTGCAAATATTTTATAATTAAATATTAAACCAGCATTTTGAGGCACACCCGGGACCAAGCACTTGACCCTGGCCCGAGACAAGTTACTCTGGCAAGTGCACTCAGACTTGCCTGAGTACTGTACATCGCCAAAAGCCCTGAAAATTTTAAAAAAATAGAAAAATTCTAAAATAAAATAGTAAAAGGGAATAAAACCAAAACAACCTACAAATTCCAAATAACTTTAAGAAAGTATATAAAACATGGTTCTAAGAAGTTGATCTATAGTATAGTTGAGGAAATTTTAAAAATATTCATAAAAATAGGAAAATATAGAAATAGGACATATGGCAAAAAAAAACACTCACCAACCTTTGCCCATAACATATAAATTATACAATCAATCCAATATTTTTATATCTATTTTTAGGATATTTTTTCTATTTAAAATGAACCCCAAGCTGTACCAAGTAACTCAGGGTAACTCGGCTCGCCAATGGGGGACACCAAGTCTTGAAACATTGTCTTAAACAAAATGTACCTACAAGCTTTTTTATTATATGCTAAATGTACCTAGAAGTTTTATATATTCTTTTAGAAAAGTAAACATCAAACATAAAAGTTGTTGTCAATTAGTTTGGTTCAAAGATCTCCAATATTTGAAGCTCAAACTTTGCACAACATCTTTGATTGAAATAGACCAATAATCCAAATTACAATGCCAGGAGATGATCTCTTGTAAATATGATGAAAGGAATCTTAGGATTCCTTTTCTCATTTGGTAAATAAATGAAGCCTTAAGATCCAATAGATAAATTTCAAAGATGAAATTTTTGACAATATTTGTTCCGAAAAGACCTTGGCACATTTGTGCTTCAAAGCAAAAGAATCCAGTTTTCAATAGATACAGGGATATGTAAACACAAATATGTTGATGCAAACATACATTCAATAGTTCATATACAAGAACACTTTTGTATTTGTGTAGGAGCACATCTGAAAGCTAGACTCCAACCTTTGCCACAAATTAGGAGTTTCCCTTCATAAAATCAGAAGCAACATCCAAACTTCACCTAAACAAAGTGATCTTTGTTACCTGTCAAAAATACAACCTGTACCTTGAACAAGGAATGTCTAAAGACATAGATGCACTCCAAGACACATATCAGGGGTCTAATGCCACTCAGAAGAAACAATGCATAAGTTGACAACCAGAACTCCATGACAATATCATGTATTTAGATAAAATAGCACTTAAACCCTTTATTTGAAATTTCATAAACATGGATTACTTGCAAGAAGCAAACATTTATGATAAACTTTGCTTACAGTTAGAAATTATCTCAGGGTTTTTAAATGGTTTTCCAATTGTAGCTCCCCCATCTCAAATATCGAGAAGTCAATGAAGCATCTCAAATAAAAGGAATTTGTAGAATTTATATACAGATTAATTTCCTCAGATAAACAACACTTATTTAACTCTAACATTGGTTAGACAATTAGGACTCCCTTGAACTTCCATATGTTCCTTCTCAAATTAAGTTGTATCATTCATTACTAATCTAGAGAAGACATTCAGTAATTTAAACAAGCACATAGGTACTACTTCTTGATTTGCAAAAATGATTCAAACGACCCAATAGAATTCTCTATCAAAATCACCAAAATTTTATCAATTAATTCAACTTGTATTTCACCAAAGCATAAAACCCCATTTCAACAACCAATATGTTATCTTCTACTGATTCATCTAATAATCTTCACCAGAACAAAAATTTCGAGAACATCATGTCAAACAAAAACTAACAAATTTGTCATAAAACACAAGAAAATTCAAACTTAAATTAAAAAGTATGTTCATTAATAGGAGAACCATTGTCACTTAGGGAATCTGACAATCATTTCATGGATTTCTAGAGGAACTCAGAAAATGAATGGGAAATATGCCAAAAAAGACACATTTGTTTATCAAATAACAAGCAATAAAAATAGAACTGCTCCAAAATTTACCTGATCGTGATAATCTGATTCCTCTGCACACTTAATCTCAGATTCAATTACTTTAAGAAGTTTCTCGTCCACTCCTGGTTTCTTTGCCACAGAACAGTAGAAAAGTGGTAAACTAACGCCTCTAACTCCTTCCAGTTCCGGAGAAAATGCACCACTGACAACTGAAATCAGTTTAGAACGGGACCCAAATCCGCCATTAATGGAGGAAACTAGACCAGAATGATAGACTTTTGGGGCTCTCAGAGATCGAGAAACCATTGAAATAGCAGACGAAGCTCCTCTGCGAAGAGAAGCGGAGAAAGCCATGGCTGAAATTCTAAAGTTTTGATGTAACTGAAACTAGGGTTTTACGGGGCAAAAGTAAAGCAGGGTTTCTGGTTCGGAGAAACCAGCTTTTATAGGAGGGCAAATTTAGGGTTTAGGGTTTAACCGAAGAACAGCACGGCCATGTGTACATAGAACGTCATTTTGCATTTCTAAGAGGTTTAAACTTTGAAGTGTCAAAAGCGCATTTAGTGTTTGACGCCTGATTCTTAAAGTTTTCGCAGATTTCGTCCGATGTAGCGCTTTTCTGTTTCAAAATTCCGGCGAAATTTCGGCTGTTTATTACCGACGAATTGAATAAGAGAAGGGTGTGGTTGCTATATAAGGTTGCAACCTTAAACAACCCAATTAAGGCGCACCTTCAAATTTTATCATAACATGCAATTTTAGTGTAAATCATTCTTAGGATTATCTGAACATTTATTTTCATATCTAGCTATAAAGTTTTAAACTCTAAAAATGATTAAAATCGAGTAGATCTATAAACATATGAAAATCTTGAAAATAGACTGTCTATATAATGTTTTGCAAGATGTACTATTTTCGGTACTCAATTTTTTAAAAAAATTTTTATATTCATACATCTTGATACGAGATGAATTAGAGGGTTTTTCAACATTAAAACATGGCTAGTAGAATTGTAATGGCGGAACTTTCTAAAATTGAAAACTTGAATGGAAACAATTTTGGGATGTAGAAGAGGAAGATGAAATATGTCATCATCCAAGATAGAATCATTTATGTACTAAAAGATGATTCGTCAGTAGTTGGTTAGAAATAGTTAGAAATTTTTTAATGACCTCAGAGCAAAAACTTCTATGTTAACTTTTATGCAATATGACTTTATTAAGGTTTTCAAATATTATGAAACATCTAAAAAATGTTGGAGGCAATAAAAACAAAATATGATTCAACCTCTGAAACACATCTCCAATTGTTGTTAGAGCAATGTAACTCATTTAAAATGAATGCGGGTAATAATGCAGTGGAACATTAAACAAAATGCTTGTCATTGCTGGGAATGAAGTCCCCGAGTGCATGTAAGTTTACATAATCGTAAATAGCCTTCTACCTTCATGGAGGATGGTAACAATTACACTTAGGTTGAATGTTAAATCTCTTACATTATGGGACCTACCCATGCAACTAGCCTTAGTGCAAGAACATATGAACAAAGATAAAATGAGTGAGCTCATGCTTACTCAAGGACTTTTTAAAACTAGCCAAACCAAGCCTAAATTTCAACAGAAGTTTAATAAGAGGGATAATAGGTTAACAAAAGGAGAAACTAATCCGTACAACCAAGAAACTAAACGATGACGGCCAAAATGCTTCTTAAGTGGTCAGTTAGGTCACTTCAATAATCGTTGCCCCACAAAATAGAAACCCGTAAAATCCAAAGAATAGCAGAAATGGAAGCAAGAGGCGTAAAGTTGTCTGTGTGGTCTCTAAGTGCATGATGGAAGACCATAATATCAAAAGATAGTGGGTAGACTCAGGCGTTAATCGGCATATTGCAATCTCAAAATGCATATTCAAGAACTTCAAAGAAATAAAAGCTGGGGAGAAACACATCTACATGGGAAACAATATTTATTCTGATGTATTAGGTGTAGGAACTTGTAGGTTGTATGCAGGGACAATCAACCTTGTATTAACTAATTTATATTTTGTTCTTTTTATGAGATGAAATATTGTATCTATCCCCTTACTCTTTAGAAATGGCTTTGAAGTCCACTTTCGAGCATTGGAAGTATCAATCATAAAGCATAGACAAATTTATGCTTGGGGACACTTGGTTGATGACCACAACTTGTTAATTCTTCATGTAAATAAGAAATCTGATAATAATAAAATTTCAACTTATTATGGTTATGTTAATTGTGTAATAGTTGTTGATGTATATACTTGGCATCTTAGGAAAAAGACAAGATAAATAGGTTAATAAATAAAAGTCTTATTTCAAATTTAAATAATATAGAATTTCCAACCTATCAACACTACTTGTCAAGAAAAATGACTATGAAATCATTCAATAAAGAGGATAGAGCTAATGAGTTATAGAATGTGGTCAACTCAGACATTTGTGGGCCCCTCAATGTTAAAACTCATAGAGGGAAGTCATACTTTATTACTTTTATTGGTGATTTTTTCAGATTTAGATATATTTATCTAATCCACCATAAATTAGAAGCTTTAGAAATTTTAAAATATATAAAAGGGCAGTAGAAAACCAATTGGGTAAGAACATCAAAGTTCTTAGAACTGATAGGGGAAGTGAATACATATCCAAAGCTTTCAATACTTATTGCCAAGAATATGATATTAAAAGACATATCACTATGCCTTATACGCCACTGCAAAATGGAATAGTTGAAATGCGTAGTAGAACCCTCTTATAAATGATTAAATCCATGATGACTCATGTTAATCTACACAAGACTTTTTAGGGAGAAGCAATAAACACATCCATGTATATTCTTAATAGGGTTCCAACTCAGGCAATAGATTCTACCCCTTATGAAATGTGGACAAGTAGAAAACCTGATCTATCCAACTTAAAGAAGTGGGGGTCAACTGCCCATGTCCTAATTCCATATCAGCATAGAAATAAGTTAGAAAATAAAAATCTAATTTGTAATTTTATAAGATACCCCGAAGGATCAAAGGGATATCGATTTTATCATAAAGATAAGGGACTTATTGAAATCATAGATGTTGATTTCCTAAAATATTTTATTAAAGAAAACCTAAATATAACAGATAATGATAATCCACTTAATATCATAGATGACTTAGAACCACTACCTACAGTGGATATGAACAGCTCTGATTAACATGATGATGTTGAAGTGTCGGCATACCTTATGTTAAGTGGTCAAAAGAGGTTTAGAGCTCTTCCATCATACCTTGATGATTTCTATGTCTATATGAATGAGGAGATAGACAACTTTATTGACTTAGATGAAATCCATGACCCTTTTAACTTCAATGATGTTATGAAGTCACAAAAATATCAAGAATGACTTAATGTCATGAGAGAATAATTATATTCTATTGAGAAAAATAAGGTTTGAGATTTATGTGATTTGCCATCAGATAGGAAACATATAGGTTCTAAATAGGTACTTAAAAAGAAGTTAAAATCTAATGGTTCTATTGATAAATTTAAAGTTAGTTTAGTAGCAAAGGGTTTTACCCAAAAAAAGGGAGTCGACCATATCGACATTTATTCCCCAGTTGCAACGTTTATTTCTATTAGAATAATTTTGGTAATTGTTGCATATTATGACTTAGAACTTTACCAAATAGATGTAAAGACTGCATTCTTGAATAGTGAACTAAAGGAAACCATCTACATGAAACAACCTGTGGGCTTTATAATTAAAGGTCAAGAAAATAAATCATACAAATTAAATAAATTTTTATATGGTTTAAAACAATCTTCAAGACAATGGTACTTAACATTTCATGATGTCATCTTAGAGATGGGATATGAAGTAAATAGATTGAACCATTGTGTGTATGTCTTAAAGAGTGAATGTAAATCCACAATACTCTCATTATATGTAGATGATATCCTAATAGCTGAAAATGACTTAAAAATGATTGATAAGACTACGTCATAGCTTTCTTCTTGGTTTGAGATGAAAGATATGGGAGAAGCATCTTATGTCCTAGGCATAAAAAGAACTAGAGACAAAAAATAAAAAATGTTGTACTTGAGCCAAGAGAGATATCTTGACTCTGTTCTCAAAAGATTTCAAATGAAACAGTGTCTATTCTTGTTAAAAAGAGAGTAAAGTTGTCTAGGAATGATTGTCTAGTAGAATGACAAGAAAAATCCAACATTCTCTATGCACAAGCTATTGATAGCTTGGTATATGCAGTAAGATGTGCAAGACCAGATTTGAGTTATGTTATAGGAATTGTTAGTAGATATTAAAGTAATCCAAGCATAGCTCATTGAAAAATAATAAAAAGAATATTAAGGTACATTAAGGGAACAAAGCATCTAAAAATGTGTTTTCAAGCAGATAAACTTGAAGTTATAGAATATTCAGATACAGATTTTGCTAAGAATAAGGACGATAGTAAGTCCACCTCAGGGCATGTTTTCTTCTTTGGAGGGGCAGTTGTTTCGTGGTCTAGCAAGAAACAAGGGTGTGTAGGTGCACACATGAAACAAAATACATTGCATGTAGTACTGCTTGTATTTTTGTTCTCTGAATAAAGAGCTTCATAAATGACTTGAAGCTTCAAATAATCAACAGATCGATCCAAATTTTTTGTGATAATCAAGCTGCAATTAATTAATTTATAGTGGAGCAAATAACTCCAAAGGAAGACATATAGATGTCCAATATCACTACATTCATGATATAGTTGAGAAATATGAAGTAACTGTTAGTCACTTGCCCTCATCAACTATGATCGTTGATCTATTAACAAATGGTCCAGTGTTGAACTACTGTCTAAGCACACTAGTTTAATGAGACTTAAAAATGTTTAAGTCAATCAATTTTTATAAGTGTCAAATCCGCATTAGCGTGAAAATCCTCATGATGGACATTTTTTATGAGAGACATATCCTCAAAAGCGTGAGAAAAATCTTATGGCAAGATGCTTTTTTAAAGGTCATACTCAAAAGGGAGTATGCATGTGACTTATTTTTATGTTCGGTCATCATAGCCAAATGGGACATGTTGACACATATGGCCATGAGGTCTCATGTGATTTAGCCTACAATTGTGGGTTTGGAGGAATTTCATTATCCATAAGTATCTCCAACATTCATATGGCTCAGCGTTCATATAGATGCGTTGGATGATTATTCCTGAGATCAGAGAATACATTTTCTCTGAGACCCGTTAGAGAAATATAACCGTTAGCTCTTCTTCTTCATATAAAAATGGGAAGCTAGAGAGAGGATGACACATCAACAAAAAGGTGTACAATTCTTCTCTCTCTTTCTCTCTTTAAAAGTGAATGAATCTAAAATCTGTGCTCTGCGATCACCAGCCTCTCGACACCCCTTCTTTGATATCGGGTTTTGATTTCATCTGTGCCATTCATTTTCACTAACAACCTGGAACAGTTTGGCATTAACTATACCAGACAATGCCAAAGTGAAGTTTAGGGA